TCCCTCCAGAGGACTTCCTGCCCTTTCCTTTTGCCTGTCCTTCTCACACAGGTTTCTTTGAAGGAGCTGAGCTCACTGTGCCCAGATCAGAGCAGAGGCAGCTCTGTAAGATTAGGATTCCTGAGCCTGCAGCAAGAGACAGAAGCAGAGCAAGAGTTTGCTTTCAAGTTCTCCTGACACGTTCTCCCTCATGACAGCTGAGCCATGGCTCACCATGACCTGAAAAAAATGGAAAATTCCCCGTTCCCCGACCAAAGGCTGGCACTTCAGGGCTATGCCTTTAGCTATAGCAGCTAGGCTGCAGAAAGTCGGGAAGGAGAAGTGGGATGAAATAGGGAAGTTGAAAGCTGTAACTGCACAGTTGTGCCACCAACCCCCTTACTCTCTGCGGTATTTTTTTTTCCTCATTATGAATTTCCCGGTTGCTCATGAATCCTGCAGCAGGTCCGACCCCTCTGAAGGGAGGGGGCTGTGCCCAGCAGCCAGGGGATGTCCCATGCAGGGGGCTTCTCCTCCGGGCCGGGCCAGCACAGGCAGATCCATACCCGGATCCATGCTCGGATCCATGCCGAGATCCATGCCCGAATCCATTCCCCGATCCGTGCCCCGATCCCCGCCCGGGGGGCTCCGGGCCCCCCTGAGGGGGCTCAGGCCGGGCCGCGGCCGCCATCGCCCCCCGCGCAGACAAACACAAACAATTATGAACGCCCAGAACGGGGATGCGGTGGCCGCAGCTCAACAGGTCCCGTCCTGTCCCGCCAAGGCCGGGGAGAGCCCGGCCCGGCCCCGCCGGGGGACCGCGGCCACCGGGGCTGAGGGGACACGTGGGCTGGGCTGGGGACACGCGGCCCCCTCCCGGCCCCTTTTCCCCGGAGGCCCCTCCGAGCCCGTCCTGCCGGGCCCTCCTCCCTCACAGCCTCTCCCGTGTCTCCCCACAGCCCCGAGCCCCTCACAGCCCCCGAGCCCCTCACAGCCCCCGCACCTGCCGGACGCGCTCCCTCGCCGGCGGACGCGCACCGCTCCCCGGGCCGCAGCACTCCCTCGCCGCGGGCCGCAGCACGCCCCGCGCGCCCGCCGCGCTCCCGCGCCCTCCCGCGCGCCGCTCGCGGCCGGCGCTACTTCCTCTTAAAGGGGCCGCCCCCTCCTGAGCCGGCCCCGCCCACGGGAAGGACGGGCCGGGGAGGGGAGAGGCACAGCGGATGTTGGGCGGGGGAGACGGTTCGTGTTTTATCGTATTTTTTAAATTTTATTCTAGGTTATTTTTCCTCTATGTTCTTTTATTCTATTTCAATATTTTATTCTACTTATCTGAATTCCTTTTACTTTCTTTTCTTTTCTTCTATTTTCTTTCATTTTCTATTTTAATTTTATTTTCTACTTTACTTTGTTTTCTATCTTATCTTTATTTTATTTTCTGTTTTATCTTAATTTTATTTTCTATTTAATCTTTTTGTTTTCTCTTTTATTTTTATTCTATTTTAATTTTCTATGTGCATTTGTCTTCAATTTTATTTTTGTTTTCCTCTTTTTTATTTTATTATTTTCTTTAATTCTGTGTATTATTTTCTTTAATTCTATTTTCTTCAATTCTATTATTAATACATAATTCTATGTATTTATTTGTGTAACTGTATTTATTTTTTCTTTTATTCCATTCCAGTTATTTACCTCTCTTCCCTTTATTTTCTTCTATTCTGCTTTATTTTATTTTTTAAAAAATTATTTCCTCATTTTATTCTGTTCTGTTTGTTTTCTTTTATTCCCATTTATTCAGTGTTTGTGTTTTTGGGAGCAGGGACAAGGCAGGAGGATCTGAGCAGGGCATTGGTCCAATGGGGGCAGCTGCAGGGACCTGCCCAGACCTCAACTCTAAGGTCATAAAAAGGAGAAGTGGCCGGAACCAGCCCCTGGTTCAAAGGGAACTGCTCACAAACGTCAGGATAGGGAAACTCAAACCCTGCTGGGAAATCCCTGGGAAGCCCAAAACCAAAGGTGCCAAAAGCTGAACCAGAGCTGGGAGCTCCTGCCCCGTGAGGGGTTTTCCAACACTCCTGGCTGGAGCCGGCACTTCTCCAGCCCAGGTACCCCAAACCCTCTGCAGAGCCCCGTTCAGTCCCGGAGGTGTTCACAGCCCCCAGCCCACACCCAAACTCACAGAATTCAGAGAAGGAGCTGAGCTCACTGTGAATCACTGGGCTGGATGAGACCTCAAAGATCATCGAGTCCAACCCAACCCCTCAACTGAACCCTGGCACCCAGTGCCACATCCAGGCTTTGTTAAACACACCCAGGGATAGGGACTGCACCACCTCCCCGGGCAGCCATTGCAGAACTTTATCACCCTTTCTGTAAAAAACATTTTCCTGATATCCAATCTAAATTTCCCTTGGCACAGCTTGAGGCTGTGTGCTCTGGTTCTGTGAGCGCTGCCTGGAGACAGAGCCCAGCCCCAGCTGAGCACAGGCACCTTTCAGGAGCTGCAGAGAGCGATGAGGGCACCCCTGAGTCTCCTTTTCTCCAGGCTGAGCACCCCCAGTGTGTTCTCAGCCCCTCCCAGCCCAGCTGAGCAGCAGAACCTGGGCTGAAGCCTCAGCTCCTCGGGGTCTCGGGCTGCCCGAGCTGGCCCCGGCTCACGGCAGCGGCTCGGCGGCTCCTGCAGAGCAGCTGATCCCGGTGCTGCTCCGGGGAACGGCCGGGCCCGGCTCCAGCAGCCCAACCCCTCCTGCTTCAGCAGCCCCATCCCCTCCTGCTCATCCCCTCCTGCCCCCGGGAACGGCCGGGCCCTGCTCCAGCAGCAGCGGGGCCCCTCTGGCTGGATTCCTCCGTGAGCAGATGATGCTGTGCCCCAGGGCAGGAGCCTCTGTGCCAGGCTCGTGGGCAACTCCCGGGCACAGAACCACAGAGCCGAGCTTGGGAGGCACCACTGGAGCTCACCTGGCTCAGCAGGGGCCCCTGAGCACATCAGGATTGTGGCCAGATGGCTCTTGAGGCTCTCCAGGGAAGGTGACTCCACCATCTGTGGGCAGCTCTGCCACACACAGGGCAAAGTCCTTCCCCTGCTCAGGTGGAATTTCCTGTGCTCAGTTTCTTCCCATTACCTCTGGTCCTGTTGCTTGGCCCCAGCCTCATATATCCATATACATAATATATATATCTATGTTGTCTATATCTATATTCATCTCTGCTCTTCCCCCTGCCCCAGCTCCCACAGCCTTTCCCCACAGGAGATCGTCCATCCCCCCATCATCCTCATCCCAGAGGAGCCCAGAACTGGACACAGCACTGCAGGGCTGAGGGAGGGGCAGGATCAGCTCCTGGTCCCCCAGTTCAGCTCCTGTGGCTCATTTCACACTCCCTAGATTGGGGTTTGCCTTGGTTTCCATCCCTTTCCATCCCATTTGTGCAGTCCCAGCCCATGGCAGGCCCACGTGGGATTGCAGCACTGGGAACAGAGGACCTGGATCCTTCCTGCAGCAACGGGGCCAACAAGCTACTGGGCAATTCCCAGCGCAGAACTGGTGGCTCCTGACTCTCAGCCCCAGGGATTTTCTGCCCCAAGATGATTCTCACAGGTTCCGGTGTGACTGGAAACCACTGGGGCTTCAGCCAAGCCCAGGCCTCATTGCTGCTGTGGCAGGACAGGGCTTTATCCTCACATCAATGTCACCACGTTTGTCACAAATGCCACTGGAGGCCAAGAGGAAGCAACAGCAGGGGCTGATTCCGGCCTCCTTCACACCAGAGCTCCCATTCTTCCAAAGGTTGAATTTCAGCTGCAATCATGATCCAAAACATAAAACAATCAATGGAGATTTAACTGAGATAGTCTGAATTATTTTTTCCTGCAATTTTAGTGTTAGTGACAGCTGCTGTTGCAGAGCTGCCTTTTAAGGGGGTAGCACTAGGAATTCCCTACCTCCTTTAGGAAGGAGATTGCTCTTACCTCCACTGAAGATCCATTATTCAGCCCTGGGGTAAATCCATGCCTTGGTTTTGGGTCCATCCAAACTGGAACAGTCTTATGAAAGGACCATTTATAAAGCCAAAAATTTAACTTTGTTTTGAAAGTTTATTGGATCATCTTGACACAAAATCATTACAGCAGCTTGTGGTATGTTGTTTTCTTTTTCTTTTCTTTTTTTTTTTCCAGGGAATGTTGATAGCAAATAAATTTGTGAATGTAACACATCATACAGTTTCAAAATTCTAGAATCACTGCACAGGATTCTGTAAGAGACTCTACATGCTAAAGTGACAGTTTTCATCCATGAATTAAAAAACCCAAACACTAATTGAGGAACATTATCCTTTAAGACAATTTTAATATGTTCAGTTTCTAATACACAACTGGCTAACCAAGGGAGGCTGACCAAAACCAAACCCTCCACGTCGTGGCAGCGCGGTCGGACACGGAGCTGGGCCTGGCAAAAGGAACCCAGAGCACCAGAGCAGAGCCTTTGCCAAAATACCTCCTGTGGGAAGAGTGTAAAGAGCACGAGACACGCATAAAGTACAGGACATCACCCAACAAATAAGATCAACACTTTATCCTGCTCCCTGCATGGGGGTTTGGTGTTTTAGGAGTGGTGATGGTGCTGGAGACGTGCAGACCCAGCCAGCTCCTCCCTGGGCACCTTTTTGGAGCAATCAACTGCTCCTGACCTGTGCCCCAAAGCAAAACCTTTCCATGGAGTTTTGCTCACTGGGTGTGGAACTGTGAGGAAAAAAACAGAGCAGGGGAATAAAAAATAAGTTGAAAGCAAGGGATGTTGGAGAAGGACATCAGCTGAGCATCTCTGCAGGACACTGTGACATCCCTTTCCTGTCAGCGACTCCACAAGATTCCAATAGTGCAGAATGGGCACTTGCCACACTCTCCCTTCTTCCCCCTAAAGCGACTGCTACAGTCCCAAATCTGCAGCTCCTCAGCCCCCTCCCCATCCTGCACCCAGCAGGGAGAGCAGCTCCTCATGGCAGGGAGGGGGATCATCATCATCATCATCATCATCATCCTCCTCCTTCCTGCACCTGGGACAGGAGCTCCCCATCCATCCTTCTCTCCCTGGCAGGGAGGGCTCTGCCACAGGGACCCAGGGGCACTTGTGCTGCCAAATCTGCTCTCAGTGCTGCAAGGGCAGGGCTGGGGGACACTGAGGGGACACGGAGAGAATGACCCTGCTGGTTTCAGAGCCCAGGGGGAGCACATGGACCTGCACACAAGGGGCTGCACCCATGACTGTTTCTCTAACCGGGTAATGGTCAACCTCAGCTAGTGAGCAAAAGGATAAAAAAGCAGGAACAGACCCCTTTGGATTTCCAGTTTCTTGCTACAGCTGAACTGTTCAGGAATGTGAAATTGAAGTGGACTCATAAAACACATCAGCAGAGACAGCTCAGAGGGGAGAGGCCTGACAGACTCCATGTGTGGGGCAGTCGAGGGGAGCACAGACCCAAACAATAACACTTCCAGCCCATTTCATGCTTCCACACTCGACTCTTCCAGCTGTCGCTAAAAGAAGGTTAAGGCTCAAGGCAACTACTATAAACAGAAACTCAAACATCCCAGTTCCCACAGGGCTCCTTTGGATTAGCTCAAGGAGATGGAGGATATTTATATGCTGATCACAATAGATCTTGAGATAATAATAAATCATATATATATAAAAAAAAAAAACCAAAAAGAGGCCTTCTGGTCCAGCACCAGCCTCTGCTAGAAATATACATCAACTACAGCAGCCCTGAAGACATTTTCATGGCTAAGGATTAAGTCAACCTTCCCTGGCATAAGCACAAGCAACAAACTGTGCTACTGCTGATAAAGTCCTGCTCAGTCGCCGTCCCACACAGATGAAGGTCATGGGATCATCATGAGCTGCTGAATAAATAGTGCCCACCCCTCCCTCCCTCCCTCCTCCAGTCATGTCACCAGGATCTCTTTGGGCTAGAAAGGGTTAACACCACAGTTTGTAAAAAGTTCTGAAAATAAAAAGGTAACATACAGCCTTAAAATGTCTAAACTGCAACCAATGGTGGAGTGAACTGAAAGCACGTGCCCCAGGGTAGTACATGCGTACGAGGGAGAAACTTAACACTTGGGTCTGCTCGTCTTTACACGTTGGGTGTGTTTCTGCTCGTTGGAATATTGTATAAGGAATATTCAGCACTTGGACAATGTCTCTTTCATCTCATCCAACAAGTTGCTAAGCAGGGTAGAATCATTACATTTCCCATCTATGGATACAGAGTTCTCTCCCTTGAAAAGGAAAAAAAAAGAAAAAAAAATAATTAGCTTCTCTTCCAAGTGGGGATAAATGTGTTCCCAGCCAAACTCAGGGGCTGGAAAGAGGCAGAGGAAGGCAGGGAAGGCTCCGGGTTTAGCTTCTCTCAGGGGTTACAGTGCTCTCACCTTTTTTACCAGTAGGCAGACGTGATGGCCTTGGATAGAACGGCTGTACATGGATGCACACGAATCAACGCGTTCCACAACTGCAGAGAAACAGCAATTTCATTTCATTCCAGTCCATTTTAATTCACCCCTGCTTCCCCTGGAGAGCAGCCCTTGCTCTGCCTGGCCTTGAGGAACAGAGGCTTCTACAGAGGGGAGGAGGAAGTCAGGGTTAAGATGTGCCTGGCTCCTCGTGGCTTCTCTCTGGGACGTTTCACAATAACGAGGTGAGTCATTTGTCTGCTAAGCCACAAATGTTCTGTGGTAAAAACACAGCTCAGAACATAGATTTCTTCCCCAGAAATACTTCCAGTGAGGCAATGTCTAATGCAAACACCAGAGCATGATGAAACAGCCAGTTGTTTTGCTTCAGTCAGCGCTTGTGTTTTAATTAATAAACCCAAAGCTGAATAGCTGGGGCTCTCCCTCACTGAAAGGAGGCACTGGGGAAGGAGTCTGAAGCCCTGCAGATCAAACCCACCCTCCAGAGAACAGTTACAGCCTGAACTCCACAGCAGCTGCTCCCATGAGAGCTGTCACATGCCTCACTGGGCTGCAGGAATTCCACAGGGACACAAGGAGAATTCATTTTGAAGAACACTGCATGCTTTGAGTGTTGCAAAACTGGAGAAAACTCTCCCAAATGTATTTAATCTGGACATCACCTGCTCCTGTGGTTGCTGAGCCCATGCAGTGTTATGCTCACCAAGCACAGCAGAGATTTCAGAATATGGAATTCTGCAGAAGGTTCTGCATCAAGGCAGACTCACCTGAAAAATGATGATGAAAACAGATCTTTGCCAGTAGATGTTGGAAAGAAATGCTAATTCCATCTACTTTAATAGAACTCATGTGCAGATCTCCAGACTCTAGGAGCTTGGCAAAAGCATCACTGCAGAGCAGGAAGGAAAGTAAATGTTTTATTAGAAATGCAAGTGAAATCTGTCCCATCAGCCCCATGAAACATGTCAGGATACAGAAGCTTAAGTGCTACCAAGCTCGAGGAAAATGGGTTTACAGCAAATACAGAAACCATACTCCAGAACCCACTGGAGCAACTTGTGCCCTCTTGCTGCCAGAGCTGCCTCTGCCAGCTGCAGGGCACAGAGCTCCCCCTGCAGAGCCACTTGAAATCAGTCAGTGGATACATCTGAACAGCCTCCCCTTACACAGACACTGCCCAAGCCCTTGGGAGCAGCAGGGCTCAGCCTGCCAGGGGCGCTCACCTGTAGCAAGGCGTCGTGATCAAGTATGAAGCACAACTGAAGTGCAATTTGAAATCTAGTTTTTCATGGGTTGAACCTTCATCATCCTGCAAAACAGAGCAAAGGAGAGCAGGTGAGTGGGAACCCTGAGGCAGCCACCCCTACCCACCACAGAGGCACCAGTGAGGAGCTGAGGGCTGAGCTCCCTCTGAAGGATCAGCGTGATCCCACCACAAGACCAGCCCACTCAAAGATTTGGCCAGCTGGGTTGATAATTGCACCCACAACAGGTAAGGGACACACTGGGCTCCAGTTCTGCCTGCACTCTGCTGAAATAAACTGAGCAGACTGAGTTTAAACTAACACTTGGAGATGTGGTTTTACAGTTCATTATTTCCTGAGCAAAATAAGAAATTAATAGTTCCCAGATTCTTAGGTACTAAAATAGGACTAGCATGCTATTTTTAAGAAACTCTTAAAATAGAGATAATGGCTGACTCAGGAGTAGCCACAACTGTCTCCATTCATTTCCTTTGAGCATCTCTTTCATTAATAACTGTACTGAAATAACATCAGAGACCCACACAGTCTTATCCAGTCAATACCTATTAAACAATACCTTCCTCTGACCTCACTCTTGCTCTGGGTTTCCACTCTTAATGACTGCACCTAATTCTCATTTTAGTTTTGCAGCCTTGTAGCAGGCTGCAGTGTCCAACTGAGATCAGAAGGAGCAGAGCCTGGTCCCCTCTGTCCCCTCCCCAGCAGATCAGTGTGATTTCCTAGCTGACAATGTGGCACATGTTCCAGGCTGCCTTGCTCACACGCTGACAGCAGTGACAATCCAGGACGTGCTGACGCAGGGCTGGGGGCACTCTTTGCACAAGATGTCATGTGAAAATGTTCCTCACAGAATGGGCTGCTGCAGCAGGGATGAAATGATGCCTAAAAAAAGCTCCAGAGCAGAGCTTCCCACCCAAGCCCGGCTCCCTGACGCAGTTCCCAAGGAAGCAGAGGCAGTTGAGAGCTGCACTTACTTTGACTATAAAGGACAGTGTTCCTTTTAACTTCTGAGCCATAACAATACTCTGAAGTGTAAACACAAACTGGGCTTCATTAGAGATTCCTAGTGTGAAGAGAGGAGAGGGAAAAGTCAGGTCAGATAATGGTTTCCAGATCTAAGTAATGGTTAGAATAAACTGACTGATGTGCAGACTATTTTTGAACCAAATCTGAAATTCTCTGAGTTGGAATAGTTCTACACACAACTGCTGTGATGAGTCAACAATGTTACAGCACTTGGGTCTCTCAGTGGCAGCAATGGCAGCTGGCATTTGATGGAGGTTATTGAGCAAGTGCCTGGGCAAACTGTCACAGTGTCACAGATTTAAACTATTTGCATAACTGGAATTATATTATAAACATTTCAGAGTAGCTTTCAGAGCTAATTTGAATTCTAATGGTTCTATGTTTTGCTTTTAATATACAAGTCTGTGTCAAGAACTGCCACATAGAGATTTAAAACAAATCAAATACCCCACTGCTTTCCATGGGGGATTGAAAAGCACCTTGAGGCCACTCCAGCCCTCTGTGAGCTGTTCCAGGATTCAAATTAACTCCTTGGTGAAGGAAGGGAAATTCAGGGAAGTTCACAGATTTGACTGTACTACTGTGCTCTGTACAAAACCATTATCCTTAATTTCTGTGCTTAATACTTGAGCTGCCCTCCTTGCACATCCTTATCACAAACCTTCATTGCAAAAGGCCTCTGCCATTCAAACAGTGGGACAAGAGCTCCAGAATGAATCCAGAGTGGATTCGAATGCTTCACAAACCTCCTATCTTGTTTTATTTTAAATCTCATAGCAAACACATAACAAATTTTGCATTCCGGTAGTCAAAGGTGTGCCAGCCTGCAGGCACCTGGAAAACGAACTCAGACATTTGGATTCCCAGCCCTAGATAAAGGCTTTGCTCTTGCTGTGCAGAACCACCTGCATTACAGCCACACTGGGAGAAGGCTTATCCTCTCCAGGGAACTGTGGGAAAGCCCAGCAACACCCAGGCAGAGATGTTTTTTCTGGAAAACAGCAAGAAGTTCAAGCAGCTCTTTCCACAGGAGGGCAGTGCAGGGCCAGCCACACTCCAAGAGCCCTGTGCAAAGCTGTGCATACCAGGGGGGAGCTGGAAGGGCACAGGGATCCCATCGTGTACTGATGATCCTTCTGGTCGGAGCATTTTAGTGTTGAGAGAGTCCAGGACATTCAGTTCCATGCTCTTAAGGAAGCTAGTGCTTTTGTTCTCAAAGATAACAGACACTGTAACTTGGCTGTCATGCTGGAGGTTTCCTTGGATATCATAGGTCTGCAAATGAAGGGAAAAATGTCACAGGAAAAATCAAACTTCAAGAAACAGAACACATTTATCCCCATTTTACCTGGGGGTAAAACCAGGTTCAAAAGGGAGGTAATTTGATATGGCTAGAAGATTATGGAAGCACACTGGGATTGGGAAAATATCAACTTAGAAATTAAAGTGGGCCACCCAAAGGAAAGGAAATAGAGCTTGGGACTGAAACAGTCCTTCAGTTATGTGATGGCTACATAAAGTCACTCCCCATCCCCAGGGCACACAGAACAGCCCCAACTCACCATTTTGATGTATGGGTTTTCAGCAAGAAGGCGATAACTGGACATGGGCTGCAAAACAAGAGAGAGCTCACAGTGACACCAGAACTGCTGACTCTGGGAAGAGCTGTCACTGCCCACCTTCCCAAGAGCTGAGCTCTCCCTGTTCCCAGGCCTGGGCACAGTTACTCACTGGTAGTGGCTCATCCTCTAGTGTCCCGTTCTGCACTGACTCTGGGGGCTCCTCCTCACTGTGATGACTCTTCTTCTTGGATTTCTTTTTATCCTTTGATTTCTCTTCTTTCTCTTTCTTGTGCTTTTTCTTCTTATGCTTGGAGGATTTCTACCAAGAAGAACGAGAAACTACAACAACCCTTAAAGAAACCCTTGATTTCTAGCAATGACTCCTCCACCACACTTCTATCTCTAGACTCTCACTCTCTGCATTTCCTGGACTGTGCAAAGTTTCCTTTTACAGCAGAACCCAAAACAGAGCTACCATTCCTGAAATCCCAAAAGTAACTCCATGTGAAGTCCCAGTAAACCCTGCTCCCCACACCTTATCCCAAAGTAACCTGGGAACAGCACAGGGCTGAATCTCTCCAAGTGTTTGGAAACTTTAACTGGGACCTGTCCCTTGGCTCAGGGACACGAGATGGTCACAGCTCCCCAAGGATGCAACATTTGCAGGCAGTCACTGCACTGAACAGATGCTGTTGGTAAATCCTCTGTGCTGCTTTTTAAGGAGTTTGAGAGCGCAGGAGAATATGGCTGAAAGGTGACAGCAACTTCATGAAACCAGAGAATTGTGAAGGTTGAAAAAGATCTTTAAGATCATCCAACCATCAGCCCAGTGCCACCACATCCACCACTAAAGCATCCACAGGTGCCACATCCACAGGTTTTCTGAACATTTCCAGGGACAGTGACTCCACCACTGCCCTGGGCAGCCTGTCCCAATGCCTGACAATCCTTTCCATTAAAACTCAATACAACAAAATCTTTCCTAATATCTAATCTAAGCCTCCCCTGGTGTAACTTGAGGCAATTTCCTCTTAACTTGAACCACTTACCTTTCCTTCATCCTCCTCCTCCTCATCTGGTTCTTCCCTTTCTTCTTTTTTTACCACTTGGGGTTCAGCCACCACAGCAGTGCCCACTGCAGGCTCGCTCTGAGGAGAGGAGCAGAAGGATTCTGACACTCATGGAAAGCAGCTGGAACAACCCAATCCCACAGCAAAGGAAACTCAACAGTGACAACTCCTCCCAAGTGTTATTTCAGAAATGACATTGGGCTAACATGGTATCAAGGCTTTCATTTTATGCCTCTGAAACCCAGCAAATATGATCACCTGAAGACACAATTCAGAAGATTCCCTCCAAGGAATCCATCCCCTTCTATCTTTGTCTCTTCCTCTAAAATTTCCCATCAAAATTCATGAGAATTTTTCTTTCACACTCTGTCTCTCATGTCTATTAATATTGCCAGAGTCTACCTCATACTGGGAAATAAAACCATACAACTGTATAACATTACACTCATCAATAACAAAATCAACCAAGGCTGGAGCTGCATCTGTATTTCTATTTCTATTCCTTGACCTGCACAGAATGAGCCTCAAGTCTCCCATTTCAGCTCCTGTGAACTGGGCAGACACAATATCTCTGCTGCCCAGCAGGAAGGTGAGGAGATGGAGCTGATGTTCCCCTCTGTGCTGCAGCATGACACAGCACTCCTGCACCTCTCACAGGCAAGGAATAACCACAGAAGTTTCTTCTGATGGGGGAAGATTTCTACCTGTGGCTGGGGTGTGGGAGCAGCTGGTGGAGCAGTGGAGAGCCAGAAATCCAAGTCTTCCCCCTGAATTTCAGCAGAAGAAAAACCCCATTATCATTGTTTACATCTTTCTTAAAAATCAAATTAAAAACTCAACAGCAACAAAAGAAAACCAAAACAAAATGATCACAAGGATGGAACATCTGCCTTATGAGGAAAGGCTGGCAGAGCTGGGGGTGCTCACCTGGACAAGAGAAGGCTCCAGGGACACCTCAGAGCCCCTGGCAGGGCCTGAAGGGGCTCCAGGAGAGCTGCAGAGGGACTGGGGACAAGGCCTGCAGGGACAGGACACAGGGAATGGCTCCCACTGCCACAGGGCAGGGCTAGGTGGGAGACTGGGAATTGGGAATTGTTCCCTGGCAGGGTGGGCAGGCCCTGGCACGGGGTGCCCAGAGCAGCTGGGGCTGCCCCTGGATCCCTGGCAGTGCCCAAGGCCAGGCTGGACAGGGCTGGGAGCAGCCTGGGACAGTGGGAGGTGTCCCTGCCATGGCAGGGGTGGCACTGGATGAGCTTTAAGGTTCCTTTGAACCCAATCCAGTCTGGGATTCTGTGAGTCTACAACAATTAAACTAAAATTTGAAGTTCCCATGGAAATGCAGCACTGCAGAGTGCTCCTCATGCTCAGATGCTGTGACACATTCAGGAGCAAACACACCAAGAAGTTTCACTTCACTTTTTGAGCACTTCCAAAGGCAGGCCCAGCTGAGAGCACCTGCCCAGCACCCCCACACCAGGACAGGGCATTCCTGGCATTCCAAGGGCTGCAGGGCAGAGGGAATGTGCAGCTCTGCAGGGGATTAACAGGGGGATGCTTCAAATCCTGACAGCAACTGGCAGCCATGGGCAGGGTTTATAACTGAAAGGTTCTGGAGCACATGGGAGTCAGGATGCACCACAAATGACACAAAACCAGTTCCAGATATTTTGCTAAGGAGTTCCCCACTTGGTGAACAGACAAACTATCAGCAAACTCAGCTCCACGTGAGCTCTGGCAGATCTGCTGTGTAGGCTGCAGTAAGCTGAATTCTGCTAGCTAAGGAGGCTCAGTAAGTGTTATTTTTATTAACAGAAATCTTTAAATACCTGCTGCTACAGTAGTAAAAATTGAAGTAAATAGAGGGTGAATGCATTGAGCTGTTTGTACTGTTAAATGCAACTGTTCCTAGGCAACAAAATGAACTCAGCAATAAGTAACAGCAGGAGCTAAAATAATGCAAATCTTGGAGAATTACCTTTTTTACTTCCTCCTCCTCCTCCTCCACCACCTTTTTCTCTTTCTCTTTCTTCTTTCCTTTATCTCTCTCTTTATCTTTATGTTTCTTTTCCTTCTTTTTGGGTTTCTTGCTCTTCTTCTCTGCTAGGGGAACTTCTGAGTCTGGTGACTTCAGGGTCTCCACATTCCTGTGTCTCTGCACTGGCAGCTTCTCACTGTCTGCTAAAGGTCTTGAAAAGAAAGAGCCCATTACCTGCTGCACACAGCTCCCTCAGCCACATAACCTGGCCAAGACAAGCTCTGCTTTGTTCTTAGGGAGCTGGGCCCCCAGGCCTAAAATCAGTGCATACTTCCATACCTGGAGTTTTCTTATGCACTGCAGACATTGCCCTTGTGGGTTAGGAGTCAGAGGAAACAATTGGAAGGTGACAGAGCCAAGGTTTTGCTGTTTAACCCTTAGAGGTGCCACCAGAGGCTGAGGAACACCCCCAGAGGAACAGCTCCATGTTCCACTGTGTTTCCATGGAATCCCTCTCCAGGGAAAAGCAAGGATGTGGAACAGCATTTCCAGCAGAGCGGAAATTTCAGCAGTGGAATGTCAGCATGGCTCCAGCAGCCCTTGAAGGGTGTGGGGTTTGCTGTTCTTGATGAATAGATCGGCCTAATTGGGAACTATTCTAAGTAATTTTTATTTTGGAAGTTTGCACTAGGAATTCTTACTCTACTATCACATTTTGTAAGTTAAATGTAACTTCAAACACCTGTTTGCAAAAAGCACCGACAGCAGGTGATATTTACCCTGTATCCTAAATCCATTACTTAGGAAAAAAAAAATCACAAAAATTTCTCTCATTCTTGTCAAACATTTCCAGAAGCCAGCAAGAAATTCACCAACTGCATATTTTTCTATTTATGGCTTTTATTTAATGTTAATTTTCACACTGGCACAGCAAACATTACTTCAGGAAGATTTCTAATGGCCTTAACTGCCTCAATTTTTTTGCTTATATTGCATTAAGAACCAGAACCAATTAATTTTTCACTTTCAGACACTAAGGGAAGATTGAACAATAAACAGTTGTTCAGTCTCATCTTTTACTATTTCAGATATACCTGTACAGGAACAGCATTGGTGCTGGAAGCCAGTGACAAAACAGACACTCAAATGTGAGAGTCTGAGTTAACAGTTCCACCACCCTTCAAGGACTTGCCCTGTCCAAAATCAACCACCCTGACAAAGGTCAACACTCAGGAGATATTCTTACCTGGAAGGCTTCCCTGAAACCAGACTGCGTGTGAGCGTGACAGACAGAGCAGTGCAAGCACAGAAAGAAAGAGAGAGGACACAGACATGAGAAACCATGACAGGAGAGCACAGCACTCATGGCACAGGGAGGGAATGGATGGAACAATCCAGCAGCCCTGGATGCCTCCTGAGCACAGCCCCCAGGACCTGCTCTGCTGGGTGTGCCCAGTGCTGCTGAGAATCACCATGCAAATACAGGGGCTACAGGCAGAAATTAATTTCCTTTTATATATTTGTCAGTGCAGATTTTGGCCTTCCAAAAAAGGAGTTCCTCAGAAAGTGTTTTATTCATTTTTTCACAAGGTACTGAGAGGCCAAAGCCCTATAAATTTGGCACTGCAAAGAAAGGCACAGACCCAAGTATCAGAGGAAGAGAGAGATCCCACACACACCCACATGGGCCTGCACAGTCTTCAAAAATTTACAGGAGGCATCCCTGGACCATAAGTCAGCAATTATTTTTAGCATGGTGATTTTGTAAAAGAATCCAAACCAATCTCCCTGTGCAACACTGCACAGCCCAGGGCTCATGGGCACAGGGATGCAGGGGCTCAGAGCTGGCACTGGCACAGCCCCAGAGCTGGGCACAGGGGTGACACACAGCTCAGTCACAGCAGAACAACTCAACAGTGGGACACACTGCAGGGCCACAGGGCAGTGGGGTGGGACAGCCTGGGTGTCTCTGGTCAGTGATACAACACAGGCTTGCCACGGACACAGAGCTTCTGAGGGGGACAGATGGACACAGCTCACACTCAGTGCCAACACAGGTGACAGCAGAGAGACAGTGGGACACCCAACCCTCAGAGTAACCCGCACCTGATCCAGAGACACTGTCTGTGCTTCCAGACTCCTTCAGTCACACTCACACTACATTTACTGACTCCCCCGCCCCTCCCAAACCCCCCTCATACTCAGGAGTTGAGATTTTATCATCCAAGCTGCAGTGGGAGCCAAAGCTGGATGAGCACCTGAGGTCTCAAAGCCATGGGGAGAGCCTTCAGCCTTTTCCCCTCATGGCCTGCTGTGCTTTGCCTGCTCAGCCCCAGCCCTGCCCTCAGGCAGTCCCTCAGTGAACTCACACACAAACTGCACTTACTTATCCAGGTCTATGTCAAGTGCCTTGTAGGGATCATTGGGATCTTTATCATCCTCATCACTGGGCAAAGCATTCTGCAGGAGAGTAAAGAGACACCCAGTGAGGCAGCAAACCCCTGGCAATTTTCAAACTCAAGCTTAACACCACTCAAATTAAAATTTTTTTGAGCCTGTGAACCCTGCAGAGGCCAGCTGCAGTCAGGCTCAGTAAGTTATGGGAACAATGCACTTCACTGCAGCAGCCAGTTTCAAGATTAATTTGGAACAGAAACCCCTTCTTCATAACCAGCAGGACTTGAATTGCTGCTGTTCGGTTTTGATTAAAGGAAATTTTAGAAACAAATACAGATTACATCATTAGCATCTGCAATTAATTATCATCAGCTGCAAAGCTGCTGACTAGACAGCAAGTTACTGTCAAAGTGAAGCAGCAGAGCATAATAAATGCTATTTGGGCAGTGTTACTTTTAGAGCAGGGATGAACATTGTTTTGTTGGTTTTGACCTTTTTAATAGCTTCAGTGGCAATTTTTGTCTTTTTGTTTAAAAAAAAAAAAGACAGTAATTTCTTCCCCTGCAAAGAACAGCCTGGGATCATCTCAGTCACTTCTGAAACAGCTCTGGAACTGCCACATCACAGACTGGCTGCAGCTGTGGGGGCAAAAATCTCTCAAGAGCTGCACACAGATAAATCCCAGAGCCCAAGCACAGGAACTGACCTCTGGCATCTCCTCTGTGATGATGTCGACGTGGTGGGCTGGAGCAATGTCCTCCTCACTCTCTGTGTGCAGGGAGTTGTGGCGATGGTGTTTCCCTCTCTTCTCCTTTTTCTGCTTTTTCTTTTTCTTGTCTTTCTCCAGTTTCTGTTTATGCCTTCTCTCTTCTTCCAGTTTCACATACTGGTCTGACATGGGCATTCCTGGGGAAAGCCAAGCTGCTTTCAGGTACAGAGCACATGTACTGAGAACTGAAACACCACATCAGGAGTGTGCCCTGCTGCTGCTTCCAGCTTCCCAGAGCCAGCTGGATCCTCATCTCTGTGCTTCCACACAGCCCCCCAGGCACCAGCTTTGCTGTGCACTGCATCTTTCCAGAAACAGGAAAGAGCTCAATCCTGCTCTCTCATTCTTGACTGCATTATTGCATTACAAGGAGCATCCAAACATTGAGATTTTAAGGAGAATTGGTGACATTGCTGCTGTACTTGTAATGTAAAGAACTTTATCAACAGCTTTTCTGTGCTGTATCCAACCACTCCTTAGATACACAACCACTTTTGATAACTGAAACAAGATATTCAAACAGTATCTCCACCATTAGATTCTATTTCATGTCTCCTCCATCAGACCTCCAAGATATTTTCAAGGTGACTGCTCCCACACAGAACAGTGGTTCCTCTACATGTTACAGACCTGGCTGCATGACATTCCTAATCACAGAATTATTTCTAATATTATCTTGAAAGGAACTCAGACTGCAAAGTACTATTTCCAAATGTAAATTAAGGAGATATATTTAAGACTCTAATGGAAGTGTGCTCCTTGCCCTTCAGAACCTCAGGTTAAAGATCTAAGAAGGAATTATGACTTTTGCTAAACTGAATTTCTTTAATTAATTTTAAAAGATTAGCTGTGCTTACCTGGAACTTTTAATGGGACAGAAAGGTCAATCTGAACCACAGGAATATGTTCCACCCCTGGAGTGTCTTGGTATCGCTGGGAAAAGAAAGATTTGTTACTTTCTGAGCACCGCCAGCACAAATTTCTGTAAATAGAAATATTACAAAACATCAAGCAGCTCAAACCCTTAAGTGAACATTTTAAAAGATAGGAATGGAACAGCTTGTTAATAATTCTGTGTCACAGCAGAGTGTCTTTTAAAGCCAGTTGATAACCATTATTATAAAGGACCCTACTCTTAGCTAGTTTTTTAACCCCACTACTGCCCTGAAGAATTACTGCAGCTCCCAGAATGAAGAATTACTGCAGCTCTCAGAATGAAGAATTTTTGGTTTGTTTTATTGCTAGTAACTTGCCACTTCAGAAGATAAATTTGGAGATTGGAGTTGAGGAATATGGGGCAGTCCTTCAGATATAGAGAGATATAGAGGGAATAAAGCAAGTTCTTTCCCTGAAAAAGGTGTTCAGAGAACACAACAACTTCCTGATCCACAAAATACAGTGTGAGTTCCAGGGTCACCCTCTGCAGGGCTCTGAGTGAGGTGCCTGGGGAAGTGAGCACTGCCATGATCCAGGGCTGGGACAAACTGCACAGACTCTCACAGGCTGCCCTGGGGGTACCAGGTCACTCAGGAGATTCTCAGCATAAACAGGAGTTATAAAAACAGTTGTGGGCAGCCACTCCAGTCCATGCATTATAAAGTGGTCAGAACTGCAGGGGAATATCAGAATGTGCCAGAGGAGGCTGCAGCTCTGATACTCAGGGATCCTTCCCACAATGACAGCAGAGTCCAGTGAGATATTGCAATTCAGACTCACCTTCTGAGGGGAAGGAGAGCTTTTAATATAAAATGGGTTGTTGGCCTGTTCTTGTTTCCGGGCCTCTCGACGCTAAAAGCAAAAGAGGATTTGCAGTTACAATGTTTGTTTGGAAGCAAAGAGATAAAAGACACTAAAGTGCAAAACAAAGGCTTCCTGCATTTTTGGAACAATACATAACTGCTGTGAAAAGGCAAGAGCAGAACAGCTTGTGTGTGCTAAAGCAGTTCTGAGTTAGAGACATGCTAGGATAGAACTGCAGGTACCATTACTAATTCCATCCCTGGAAGAGTTCAAGGCCAGGCTGGAAAGAGCTTGGAGCAACCTGGGATGGTGGAAGGTGTCCCTGCCCTGGGCAGGGGTGGAATGGGATGAGATTTAAGATCCCTCCTGTCCCAAGCCATTGTATATGATACTATAAGTAATATTTCTTAGAACACCATTCTTGGCTTTTTAATTATAGACTAGAGATAATAACTTGCCAGACATTAATTTTTGATGGCAATTGGAATGTTGCTGTTTTCATTTCTGCAAGGTGAGGAAGAAGTGAAGATTCATGTAACAACAGGTTCTCTCTGTGAAAGCAGAGAGGTCAGAGGCAGGAAAGGTGGGATCACTGCTGAGCACAAACATGTTTCAGTCTTTCACAGAAGCTGCTCAGGCCCATAAACATCAGCTCACATCAGAGATCAGCTTTGCTGAGCTGTGGAGAGCAGAAGGGCTCCCTGGCTACATGGAGAATCCACAGCAGCCCCCACTGCTCCAGCACCACTTAGATTACTACTGAATTATGTAGGGAAAGGCATTTTAACATTCACTCACTCTGGCCAGTTCCTCTTCATCTATTTCTGGCTGTCTGTGTCTGGAATGCCTTTGTTCCTCCTCATGAAATATTGTTTTGGGCTTTTCATCTTCAGACTCACTGTCTGATGGAGGCTCATTGATCCAAGCATCAAGGTCCAGGCTGGGAAGAATTGCAGCAAACAAACAGCTTGACTCAGTACACTGAATCTTTCAGTGTCTCTTCATATACTTTGCTTTATTATTCAAAGTTTAAATAAAGGTTTGGGAGAGAGAAGGAACTTTACCCCTCTGGAACAGGGACTTTCTTCTGTGCTTTAGGAGCCACAGGGTTCAGCTCACCAGCAAACAAGGCTATCACTTCCTCAGCTACAGGAACTTCTTTTGCTTGTAGCTTCTGAATGTATTTTATTAGCTGCAAGATGCAAGAAGCCTAAAAACAAATGCAGAAGTAGTTTCAGAGTAATATTTAACAAGCTAAGTCAACTGAAGTCAACTGAAGTCAACTGAAGGTGTTTTATTTCATTAAGGAACTTAAGAGAAGCAGCACAAACTGAGGTTTATAGCAAAGGTAAAAAGTCCATATTAAGCTTCTCTTTTAGCTGGATCCTTTTTGTGCCCTTAAGTGCCTGAATAATTTTAAAATTAAATTGTTTTGAGTGAAGATCTTGCTGGCAGCTTTCAGATATGGCATCAAACTGCAATAAGATCTGGGCTTTGTCACTGATAACAGCTGACAGAAAATGTGCAGAGCCACAGAGAACCAGAGACCTGCTCCAAGGCTTCCCATGATAAATCCCAAAGTCATTTCATCCTCTTACCCTCTCCTGAACCTCCAGATCTGCACTCTGCACAAACTGAGGCAGGCGCTCGATCATCAGCTGTGTGATTTCCTGAGCTGCCTCCTTTTCCCCAGCCTGCTCCTTCTGCTGCAGGATGGATGCATAGAGCTTCACCATGTTCTGCACATAAACAGCCTGGATGTGGCCTGGCAGGGTGGTCACTTTGGGCCTCAGCATTGCTTCCAGGGTTTGGTTTGCTTCCTCCAGGTGTCTGTAAGGACAGAATACACAGATGAAAGGCAAGCAAAAATAAAATCCAACAGGCAGTGCTTAATACAAAAAAGAATATAGACCACAGCAGTTCGTTTTAACAGACCTCATGCTCTTATCTGCTCACAACTAAATGGAAGATGCACAAAAAAGGTATTACAAACAAAGCTAAGTTGTAAAATGTGACAACACTGGAAGTGTGTATTTTCTTACTTCTTGGTTTTCTTTGCACAACTTTTTTGTTTTTAAGAAAATGAAGACCTGAGCTTCACCTACAGTATGAATTTAAACTGGAGCCAGTGTTCAGAGTGGCAATTAGAAGGAGACACCAAATTAGCTGGTAAGAGGAGATTCCAGTCCCACACCTGTCCAATCTACCAGAATAAAAGCTGGGTAACAGCTCTATCTGCACAAGCAAGAGATAAAAACACCTGCAGAAGCTAAAAAAACATACTGGTACAAGAACACTGAAAATTGTACTACTGTGGGCATTGAAAAATTTTGAGCAAAAAGATGACAACTTTTAATTCCCAGGAAGATGGGGCTCTGCAAAAACCCTTTAACAAAAGCAAAATAGGGAGGAGAGAAAGAACTAATTCAAACATGGTGAGTGCACATCTTCCCTATAATATAAATGGGAGTAGACCTTAATGATTAAGAAGTTCCTTCAACATCTGAAGATCTAACAGCTTATACCTACAATACCAGAAGGACCCAAAGCTGTTGGAGAGCACCCAGAGGAGGGACACGGAGCTGGGGAAGGGCTGAGGAGCAGCTGAGGGCACTTGGCTGGTTCAGCTGCAGCCCAGGAGACTGAGGGGAGGCTCCTCGGGGGCTGCAGCTCCTCCCCAGGGCAGGCACAGGGGCAGGGGCTGAGCTCTGCTCTGGCACAGGGACAGGAGCCCAGCAAGGGCTGCAGCTGTGCCAGGCCTTGGCATGGAGCTCAGGGCAAGGTTCTGCCCCCCGAGGCTGCTGGGCACTGCCCAGGCTGCCCAGGGAATGGTGCCAAGGCTGCCAGAGCTGCAGGAGCTCCCAGGGGGGCTCAGGGTGGGGGTGTTGGGGTGGCTCTGCAGGGACAGGGGTTAAACTCAATGATCCCTGTGAGTCCCTTTTGACTCGGGATATTCCGGGATTCTATGATTCACTACTATGGCTTCCTCCATGAGTGGGCAAGGCTGGAGAGACAGGAAAATTGATCAGCTAGTTAAAAATGTCTTGGCTAGAAAGAGCTGAGGAGTCAATAGTGTGAGGGAACAAGAGAAAAACAACCACTTTGGTGGCATTAAGGCACATACTCTGAACATCTCATAAAAACATTTCAGTGATGTGGTAGATAGGGACAGGCGTTCGGAAGATCTCGCGATGTCATGGAAAGTAGCAGGATTCCTCTCCCCCTAACGCCTAGTGATAAGGGATCACCCAAGAATGCAGACCCCCCCCTAACACTAGTAACTTTCCACTCCTTATTAACCAATTACAGTAAGGTAAAACCCCCTGACATAGAGAAAAACCTCCCAGATTATAAAACCCCACGAGACGGGGCAATAAAAGCCTTTAGACCGTCCACCATATTGGTGTCTGCGTGGGTCTTTGGCCCGAGGGACCCTGGGCAGTGGGTCGCTGTGCCGTTTCCTCAGAACCAAGTCGCCTTGCTTTGCATCAGAAGGCAACACAGTGACCAAAAGCTTTGCCCAGCAGCTGCCCCTCAGAGCACACCAGGCTGTGCCTGCACTTACTCAGAGAACTCCCCGCAGATCCAGGCAGCAGCATAGAGCACCTCGCAGATGCCGTTCCTCTGGGTGTTGCTGGCGATCAGGTGGGCGTTGTCCAGCAGCATGGCCATCTGCGACACCGCGAACTTGCGGATGGCCTTCACCCTGATGGCCACGTCCAACATCTGCGCCGCGATCAGGTGCCCGTGCCTCGTGCCCTCCAGCCGGGTCAGCTCCACCAGGATGCTTATGTACCTGTGGGAAAGGGGAAGGGATGGGTGGGCATCAGAGAACAACCCTGTAAGAGCCTAAATGGCGGATGTGGGACTCCAGGCAGCTCTTCAACGTGCAGTTTATTCCATCCAAGATGTTTCAGCAGTGACAGAGCCTGTGCCTACAGCTGGGAGCTCCAGCTCCAGGCAGGCCTGGAGACCCACATCCCTCATTTAGGCTCTTACTAATGGTGCCCCACATTGGGCACCACTTCAGAGCCTAAATGTGGGATGTGGGAGTCCAGGCAGCTCTCCAAAATGCAGTTTATTGTATCCAAGAGTTACAGCCGTCCAGGGTCATGGGTGACAGAGCCTGTGCCTCCAGCTGTCAGCTCCAGCTGCAGGCAGGCCTGGAGACCTGCATCCCTCCCTCATTCAGGCTCTTCCTAATCCCTCTTACTAATGGTGCCTGACGTTGGGCGCCACTGTAGCAGCCTGAATGAGGGATGTGGGACTCCAGGGGCTCTTCAAAATGCAGTTTATTGTATCTAAGATGTTTACAGCAGTCCAGGGTCTGGGTGACAGAACCTGTGCCTACAGCTGTCAGCTCCAGCTACAGGCAGGCCTGGAGTTCCTTTGGTTTTGGTTACCAATGCATTATATACTTTTCTTTTGGTTACACTGCATTAAATACTTTTCTTTGCTGAGCATCTTCATACAGTAGAACCAATCTATACCTTAACTATTATCTATAGCCTATCATAACTACTATAATTACCATATTTCATGTTACTGTTCTCCAATCACTAACGTACATTACAGCTTAAGCTAGAAGTTGTTTTTCAGTTTTCTTGCAGTGGAACATTCTGAGACCTTTTTTCTACTTGCAACTTTGCTGACTTGTTTGCCTGTGCTCTCTTTCTGCTTGGTAAAAACATCTTCTTGTTTGAGGTGAGTTTATCCCTTGCTGTAAGCCATAAAAACCCCTTCTAACTAACACACCCTTTGCCTCCTCGGTTATCCAGTAAGACTGGCTCTGCAATTCTTTTCTTCTAGATCAAAACTTGCTTCCATCTCTATTCCTTCATCAGACTCCACATTCAAAATCTTTGTGCTAAACACACATATCTGTGAGACTTTCTTGTCAAACTTTCATCCTTCCCAACACAACCCTGCACTGCCTTTGTGATGAGCTCCAAGCTGGCAGCACTGACCATTCAAAGTTGGTGATGTACTGGTAATTGGACTGGCTGCAGATGTCAATGATTTTGGTCAGCAGCTCATCGCGGTACGTCGTCCCTTCGGCTTTGTCCACGTGAATCATCAGCTTCTTCACAATCTCCATCAAGTTCTTCTTGGAGACCTGTTAAAGAGGTGGTGAAGGGTTCAACCACTTTGCTACATAGCCAAGTCCTTCCAGCTCCAGTAAAGCAGCTGCTGGCTCTTTACTGGACCTATATAATGTTCACAAGAAATCAGAACAACCTCTGTGGGCCCCAATCCAAAATGAACCTCAATATTTCTGTTAAAGAAGAGCCAGCACAAGTTACAAGGTATTTAAGCAAAGACTGGATGTGGCACTTAGTGCCATGGCCTGGCTGACAAATGGTGTTAGGTCATAAGTTGGATTTTATGATCTCCAAGGCTTTTTCCAACCCAGCTGGTTCTGTGATGACCTTCCTGTGGGAGAACTGAGGATCAGAATTACTATCAGCAACACAGAAATCCAAGAGAAAGTGACTCTTCTACTGCCAGATTAGAAAGTTTAAGAGTTTAAAACATTTTTGCTCATAAAGGAAACAAATTTAGGAGTCATTAACATCCAATGGAATTGATTTCAAAATGGGCGATTTCTAACAGGGCCTGAACTGAGAAACTCCATCCAGTCTGAATCAGAATTTTTTGAGCCCTCATGCTGAGCCAGATATTTTACTTGTCCTAAGTGCCAGAAAAGATATAGAAGTTGTAATTAAAAGTCTTGCTGTGGAGTGGGCAGAGAAATTTGCATGTTTTCCTTAAACATCACTTTCCTACAGGGTCAGTGGGGCTGCTGAGGACATAAATGCAGGAACATACCATGCCATAGAGGAGATCTAAAGCTCTCAGTCGGATGGACTCATCTTTGTCATCCAAACATTGGAGAATGAGATCCTTGTGAGACTGGACTGACTTGGGGTGCGTTTTCAGGATTTTGGACATAGCTAACAGGCCCAGGTACTTCACTGTGAAAGACAAAATAAAACTTCTTTCCAAATATAGAAACACTGTTTCAGGCTGAGCATGAAATCTTAAAGTTTAAAATTTCCCAGTATTCTTTGCAGTCACTAAAGTAAGTCAACACTCTTGCATTTTACTGTTATGCTCACTCTGCTGAAAAGAGCTGTCACTGCTTTCCAAGCAGCCAATCTATAAAAAAGGAAATCCCAGAGCATGGAAAGAACTGGTTTAGATTTACAAGACCACAAACAGCAGTAATAATTGCTGTCATTTGTTTTTAAAAATATTATTATAAAGAAGTGCTCACCATCAAAAATTATTTCCATATTAAACCCCCCAGCAACTGTTTACAGCACACCAGGCACTACAACCCCTCTGAGGCTGCTGCAGCATCTCCCCAGGGCTTGGGGGCCAAGAGCTCCATGAAGAAAGCACCATACTTACAGTTCTGGTCAGAATCTTCTATCAATATCCTCAACTTCTGCACACAGAGCTGGAAAAAAAGACCACACTATGTTTATTACAGCTCTTAATGAAAGTAAGTCTTTGTGAAGTTTACTCAATACACAAGGAAGTATCTGACCAAGACCTGAGGTCTCCAGGTGAGAGGGTTTTGTTGCATTAACAGACTTCCAAACACAAGGAACCTCTGTATGACTGTATTGATAGCAGGAAAAAAATAAAGAGTTGGGAAAACTCTCAAACTCTGCATTTTAGAGTGAATTAAGTAGGAGAATTTATATAGGGAATGCTTCAATCTGCAGGATTGCACAGTGAAGAGCACTTCAGGGAGCTGCTGCTCTAACTGCTGGCAGAGGAACACAATCCCATTTTCCCTGGCCCTTGGGACCTCCCAGCAGAGCAGAACAAGCCCCAAACCCAGGGTCCCACCTGGATACTGGCGCTGTGGTTGGGCATCCCCGAGGACAGAGAGATCAGAACTGAAACAGAAGCACAAATTCCAGTCAGAATTTCTGTGCTGGGAGTGACTGCAGCAACAACACCCAACAGCCCACACCCAGCTCAGGGAAAGATTGTTTGCCTGTTTATTGCTAAAATATTGTTTGTCTGTTTGCCTGGACTTTTGGGGGTCTAGGGGAAGGAGAGAAGGTAGTGACATAAACTTGTAATGTCATATACCATAACAGTAACAATAAGAGGGCAGGAAAAAAAAGTGTAGAAAAGGTAGAAAAAGCTGCAATAGCCAGGTCAAACTGCTCTTTTTTGCTCTCACTAGGGTTTATTTCACAGCCATCACATAACAGTCAAGGCTATTAATATATCAGCAGCTACTGTACAGCTGAATTTTTAATTGTGCACTTTCCTAATGCAATGGGATGCAGCAATGGATCCTGGAGTTTAATGTGATTAGATTGGAGCTTTAATCAAGCCAGCCATTGTTGATTATTTGGGACACTTGAAAGCTCTGGCAGCACACAGCCCCACTGCAGGAAAGGTGGGTTCACCCTGGTAACTGCTGCTGGCACCGAGCAGGTGCCATGGGCACTGTCACCTCCAAAGCTGCCAGGTGCCAGGGGCTCCTCTGGCATTTCAGGGCTCATTTGCTTGCTCTGAGTTTGACATCACCATCCCTGAGGTGTCCTGGGTGGGTGAATTCCCCCTTACCCACAGGATGACCCCACTGGATCTCAGTGAAGGGCACTCTCACCCACAAAGGGATTCCCCTCTGGGTTATTCTCACTCCCATCATGACACCTCATTCCCTGAAGGAGTAACAGTGACAGATCTCTCTTCCCTCTCTGAACTGACCCAGCACAGCAAGTTCTGCACCATTATCCAAGGAAGCCACAGGAGACAGACAGACCAACTGTGAATGTCAATAACCCTGTGCTCCACACTCTGATATTGCAGCCAAGCCTGAGCTGCAATACTGTGTTATCCCTTCTTGCCTTTGTTTTCTCTCACCCTCCCAGCTATGGAGTTCATCTCCCTTCCCCAGAAACTGAAACTGCCAATCAGTAATTCCAACTGCCTCCTCTAAGGAATTACACCCCATTTTTAAACTGCAAAGTTGCAAAATTAAAAAAAAAATCTGATCCATCATCACATCAGAGAACTTGGCAAAGAGACATCACTTGTTTTAATTCTGCTGCTGGTACATTTTGTAGTTGTAGCAACATTTAGGATCTGGCATATAAATAATCTCATTGTCTGTACCTGCCTTCAGCAAACAAAACACAGCTGTAGTGACTGTGCCTCACCCACTGACAACAAAGGATTTCAGCCCCACAGTAACACAAAATTTGCCAGGACTTCTTGCAGTTTAGAATACATTAAGAATAAAGCTTTACAGATGGTGTCAGTTGATAACAAAGTTCATCACGTTTTTTTTCTAGGTTCCAAGTTTCAGTTCTCACCTGCTATTACTGTGTTCACACATTCATATAGGAGAGACATGGCTGAGGTGCTGAAACAGAAATCAGGTATATTAAATAAGGAATAAACCAGCACACTTTGAAGAGTTGTCAGCACTATCTTGGAGCTAGTTAGCACCTTGAACTTCACAAGACATTGTCAATATTCTGCTCCATATCCCTTCAAACAGATGAAATGATTCTCACTTAAAAACTGTTGGGGGGAGGAATTTTTGAACAAATGTTTAAAAGCTCAAAAATCTTCCTGGAAAAGCACCAAGAGCACTGTGACACAAGGAATAAGGAAGGAAGTGGTTACTCAAACTCCAGTCACACAATACTGAAGCAATCTTGTCCAAGAATCAAATTGAATCCTCTGCCCAAGGTCAAAAATTGATGACAAGGCAGATGGAGAAGCTCCAGTCTCTCTGCAAGCGAGTGAGTCACGCCCCAGCAGCAGAGGACTGGGATGCAGGAACACACTTCCCATCCCTGGAAATCATCAACCCATTCCCAGTGCCTGATTTCCCCCAAACTCCAATTCAAGGCTGCTTGTGCCAGCTGAACACACAGAGCAGTTCTGAGATTGCAGAGGTCCCTACAAAGCCCGATCTGTACAAGAGGGAACCAGGAACCTGCCAAGCCCCAAAGGAGCAGGCTCCAAGCACGGGGCACAGGGAAGGAGCAGAGCTCCAGTGGCACAGTGATGCCCTGAGGGTCAGCTTGGGATGCTGAGAACCAAAACCAACATTTCTGCTCCCTGGGTACTTGGTGAGACAGCTCAGGGTGCTGAGACTCATAATGAGACCCAAAATGACTGAATGGAGACCAAGCCAGAGGTTTCAGTCCCCACAACTCAGAATTACTGATGTGGGAGCTGGGATTGTCCATCTTCCTGCTTTTTCTGGTGGGTTGCACCTATTTGTTACTGTTGACAACTCCCTGGAGGTACCTGCTGGTCTGTTCTGAGCCTGCCTTAAAGGAACATGAGGATGGACAGAAATCCTCTGGCTAGAGCTGCTCTCAAGGCCACACAGATTTCTGCTTAAAATCTTGCTCTGTCACTCAACAACTCCTGCATAAGATCACACTTCCTCTTCATATCAGGGAGAATCCATGTGCTCCCCCCAAGGCATCTATTTCCTGATTTCAGTTCAGAATTAGAACCACTACACCACCACAAACCAGCAACAGACAAGGGACAAGGAAATAACTTCAACTTTATTTAATCTACATTTAGAAGATATAAATTGTAAGAGCCTCTTTCAAAACTCATCTGAGCTGCCAAATGCATGAGAAAGGGCTTTAATATATTCCTTGTCATGCTGCTTTGGTGGGTAAGGCACTCCCAAAAGTCAGGAATCAAATGTGTGAGGTAAATAGGAGAGGCAAATACACAGCTGAGCCTTTTTATACATCCTTCACAGTCAGCTCTGGCTTGAAATGCAGTGAAAGGAAAGCAAATTGCTCCAATTTTCATCCATCCATTGAAGGAATTCATGCTGACAGGCAGACACCCAGAGATTTTCCTTGAAGGTATTTTACCCCACTCAGGTTTTCCAGAAACAACCCTTACCTAAGAATATCTTTTGATACTTGAAGCCAATATACCAAAAGTCAATAAAAAATTATAAAATGTATTATCATCCCAGCTACTGACCCACCCACCAGGCCTTCCCCAGCAGGATGTGTCACACAAACCTGTGGATGAGGTTGGTCAGGGGCTCAATCAGTTTCTTTCCCAGTCTTGGTTCTAATGGAGTAAGAGCACCAAACTATTTCAATAAGAAGAAAAGTGAGTTAATAGCTGCTTTTCAACAGCTTCAAAACATTATGTAAATTGCAGCTCACTGTATTTAAACCAAGCTATATTAACATATTTTTCTCTTTGGTTACATTCAAACATTAGAAGATATTCCTGGTTTCTTTTTATTCAGATTGAATGGTAACTATGCCTCCCAGCAAGAAATCCATTTTCACACCCAAGGTAATTTAATGAGAACCCTAATCCTGTAAACAAAAAGCAGAATACTTGCCAGTTTTATAATTTTAATGAGAACCCAATTATTGGTTGACGACGTCATCAGCTTGAAGAAGAGGGGAGCAAGGGAAAGGTAATTCTTGGGATTGCGTCGAGCCAGCTCACAAATCACATTGACTGCAGCAGACTGCACACCTGGGCAAAACAGGAGGGAGAAGCACAAATCTCATCAATGCCTTTATTGGAATTGAAGTTTCTGGTGCACAACCCCCACACCAAAAGCAGCTGAAGCTTCAGACCTGTGTGTGCAATGGTTTGGCCTCATTCCCAAGCCTGAGGCAGTAAATACAGGGATGCAAAAGCAAACTGAGAAAGGGTTTTATTTAATTCTGGCTGTTTTCTAAAATAGCAGCAAGCCAGGTATCTGCTTTGGTCCAGCATGAGAAAAACCAGCACACTGCCACATCCCTGCCCTGGACTGTGGAGAGCTGGTTGTGGCACACAGACAACACAATCAATAATCAGCCAACAGAAAGTTTCCAATCACTCCTGACTTCTCTGATATGTATGTCACAGACATCTTTTGTGGAAAATCCTTTCTTTAGGATTTTTCCTTCTTCTGGGAAGCTGAGGCCCTAGAAAGAGAATGTAAACAATAGTTGTCTGCTGCTGTGGAATGTAAGAGGTGCACCTGTAATTAGTCCATGTTGCTTGTGTACAATTAAGAACCAATCAAAGACAAGCTTTCTCTGAGACAGTATCAGAGAGAACTCCCTTGTTTATTGATTCCTATTCAATTCTTAGCTTAGCAGCTTCTGAACTTCTCTCTCTATTCCTTTTAGTGTAGTCATAATGTAACATATATAATAAATTAATAAATCCAGCTTTCTGATCATAGAGTCAAGATTCTCGTCTATCTCTCTCACCCTGAAAGACCCTTGCAAGCCCAATAACATATGTATTATTTAAAAATGTTTAAATACAAAACAGAAATAATTCCTTAAGCAATCTGACTGGACATGTTCACTCCCTTCTCATTGCTCAGCCCCTGACAGGGGTTGTTGTCAGTTTGGAATGTTTTGGTCTAGACTGGCTGGGTGTCCCAGCACAGAGCAATCCTTCACTCCACAAAGCTCAACAGGCAATTTCTTCCTCTCTCTGCAGGTGAGGGATTTTTCTTTCTTTAATAACATTGTCCCTGGAAGATAAATATTCCATGCCCACAATAAAACAGTTGGGAAATGCAATCAAATTTCTCCCTGTAATTGCAGATACAAATCAAGTGGAGATCAAATACACACCACACACAGAATTCCTAAAACAAGTGCAGTGAGGGAACAGCAGCACCTCCTAAAGACTGAGCAAATATGTGAATATGTTACTGAGCAATTGCAGATTTCCTGTGCTGCACTGACAACAGTCCTGAGGGGTCCAAAGAGCAATCTAGACCCAAATAAATAAAAAATGCACTTAGGAATGCTAAATAATTTTAACTGTGTCCACTGCAAGTCAACAGTTGTGGCTTGCTAAAAAAGCATAAGTAGTAACAAATCCAGAACCCCAAACCCTGAAATCAACTGAAATATTTTCAACAGCCAAGTTCAGTATGCACCAATCAGGAAACTTTAAGCTGCTTTGTCCATTAATGTTTAAGCCACTGATACATTTTCAGTAGCTCTGGGTTTGAAGAAATGGACATTTTAAAGAACTTATTTTTAATATGGTAGCACCCATCAAAACTCTCCTATGCTCACCTACCCTCAAGACAGGGGAGTCAGTGCCCAAAAGATGGTTACAGCATTTTTCATGCACTCCTTTCTCCACAAGCTCTACAAGCACATGGATCTCCACATGTGAGATCAGAAGGAATTCACCAAAATCCACTCACCAGGATCTGGATCTTCAAGTTTCTCTTTAAGGCGAGGAAATGCAGGACGGAGGGACTCAGGGTACTTCAAAAAAACTTTGTACATGATTAACACTGCCTTCTTCCTGATGTAAGGCTTTGTGTGAGACATCTGGGAATGAAACAACTGCAGTCAGGCTCTGAGCACATCTGTGAGCTCCTGGGCTCACACTGCTCTCACCAAAGCTGTTCCTGGGAGACTCAACTGCTTCCTGAAAACTCAGCTTTGAGGCAAGAGCAAAATATTGTTATCACCAGAACTAATGAATGTATTTCAAAGTGATCCTCTTGATCTAACTACAGTCTGTAAAAGCTCCCCAGAACCACCACAAGAATGAAGCAGCACCTGAGCTCCAATCAGGATTTAAGGCAGTGAATTGCACAACTGGACAGCAAAGGAACTAATGGACAGAACTTTGGGAGGGGCTAAAGGGTTAAAAGGCAAAACCTCCACTGTGCGGGTGAGCACATGGTGGGAAAAATCCTCTGCTGCAGGTGCTGGAATATTTTCTCTATTCAGTCAGCTTTGAGGCAAGAGCAAAATATTGTTGTTTATCACCAGAACTAATGAATGTATTTCAAAGTGATCCTCTTGATCTAACTACAGTCTGTAAAAGCTCCCCAGAACCCCCACAAGAATGAAGCAGCAGGTTTCACATGTAGCAGTTCTAGATTTAAGATATTTACCAGATTTGAATAACTTAACATTATAAAATTTTAAAGTAAAGTTATTTCAACCTTATGAACTCACCAATGTCATGATGTCATTTGCCAAGTCCCTGGCAAGATCTGGAGTAACAAAACAGGACAAGCCAGTCAGTGCAACTCCAGTATCATACTGGTTAGGGCTACTCAGATCCTGAAAAAAGAGAAACACGCTCAAAAATTTAAGATCACACAGATGCTAAGAAACAACTTCCCCAGACTAATTTTGTTCAATCAACATAAATAAAGCAGAGTTTCTTCTTCATGGGAATATTTATATATCAACTACTAACACCTGCTAAACTACAGCCAGCCTGGGGTTTAATAATGGGCACAAAGAACCATAATTAAACAAGAGATGGATGACTGCAACATAAAAGTAATCAGAGAGATCATACCTTAGTGGTGTTTTGGGAATGGAAATCGTTTTGAAACACTCAGTACTTATTACAAACATATTTAAAGTCCTAAAAAACTGGTATTAAACACTAACCCTGCTAAGTCCAATTCCAAATGTCAACTTCACTGGGAACAAGCACTCTTGGTGAGTGGAGTTCCACCTTAATCTAGCAGAGAAATGAGATTATTCTTCTCCTGAGCTGCTGGCAGCACCACAACTTCCAGTCCACAAAGACAGGACACAATTTGTGTGTGGAACACATTTATTGGTCAGGTTCCTTTGGATCTATTTGTAGTCATCCTACCCAGCTCTCCATAATCTTTCAGGTCTTCCTAAGCTTAAGTCAGCCATAGTAAAATTAATTTATGAGTAAGTTCAAGTACAGACTATAAATTGTGTATCAGGAAACACAAACATGAAGGAGCTGCACAGAGCATTCCCACATGGACTGCTGAATTAAGAGTCCAGACTCACATGGATACTGAAGCTTCAGGAGAGCTAAACATAGTCAGGCCTTTGGGGTTCTGTGCCATTTACATCTCATTTTAAAACCTGCTGCAGGTGGTGGGAAATTAGAGTCTACTTTAAGAATAATGCAATCTACTTCTTAAGGAACAAAAAACTGCAATTCATCGTGGCTCTAATGTGTTTTTAGAACTGATAAATCCTTCAAATCTCAAGTTGTTGGATCAATGAAACATGAAAAGGCATGAAGAGATTTTTATCTTTTATGTAGAAACTTGGCACAAAGTGGAAGTGGCCAGTAAGTGACTGAAACTCAATAAAATAAAGAGTCCATAATGAAGACAAAAGATATTTCCATTCAGCACAGAATAGTTCCAAAGATAAAGGGAAAAGCACTAGTTCTTTAGGAAGATACTGGCTAACATCCCACTGCTCTTTTTTAAGCAAGGAAAACACATTTTGGTTCCTGGTAAAAATGGTAAAAATGTAGGCAGATCTTGCACTGGATCAGTCAAGTTTTAAAGCAGTGATACTTAATAAAAGTCAGGAGCTTAAAAAAATATCTGTAACTTCAAGAATGGGAAAACTATGCTGCAAACCAGTTAACTCCAAGTGATCAAACTCTATGAAAGTGAAAACATACGTGGGTACATAAATACAGAACAAAACTTTCCATACTTTCCTCACCATTTTTACACCCAATTCTGCCAGAGAAGTCAAAGTCTGATGCGGAATTACAGACAAAAAGATCCCTCACAAGTAGAAGCGCTGTGGAGCCATGTCACTCCTGAGCCACTGCTCATTCTACTTCAGCAATGGGGACATTTTCCCTGCCTGTTACAGTCTTATAAGCACTGCCTAGAGACCAGTAAAGTTATTTCTGTCCCCATTCTCTGTGCTGAACAAACACAGAGCTGGCTTGAGACAGCACAGGGAGGGATGTGCACAGCTCCTGAGTGTTTCATTAATCCCTCTGCTTGTGGAACAACAGGAAACTGCAAATCAAGAATTCTACTGCAACACCTCTGTATTCCTCATGGAGAAATACTCAGTACAGATGTGAGAGTGCAAGAAGAAATGAAGAACTGAACATTTACCTTTCTGATCTGATTAGTTGTCAGCATAATGACATCAGTCCCTTCATGAAAGCACTGGGAGGCAGCCAGGTAACCAATGCGCTGGGAGAAGGCAAGGAGGAAAACAAGGTTTGGTTTTAAAGTCAATTTAGACAATGTTTAGGTGGAAAACAACTGGTGGCTTTATAAGCAATATTAAAAAGGTGAATGAGTAGGTTTTATAAGCAATATTAAAAAGGTGAATGAGTAGGTGATGAAACCCCCCTCTAGAAAAGGGGGTTTACATCAAAAAAGAGAAAATTCAGACAAGTAATGTTCCACTGATCATTTATCTGTCTTAGGGATAATAAAACCACCTTCTCTATTTTATTATAACACAGTTCAGTGACCACAAAGCTGCAGAAATAAGGTAGGATTGGCTACTACAATTATTTTGTTTGCGTTGACTCCTGAGTTTCAGGTATAAAGCCCCATTAGGGAATAATTTCTTAGGAAGCAACATTCCACCATGTTTGGTGAGAAAGGTCTGCAACAGAACATAAAATAAATCTCTCAAGAAAAATTATAAAGCTATTAGAGAACAAAAAATGCTTGGTACTAAGAATCTCAGGTGGTTTTCACATAAAATTACCCTGGCTTTTCACAAAGGGTATCTGACAGCTTGGCCAGGACAGCTGCATTTACAGAGAACTCACCTTGAATGTAAACTTGGAAGCACTCATAACTTCAATAATGTTGAAAGCAGCCCAACTGATGTCATAGCCCAGCATCTGTAACTGTGAGCAGAGAAGCCAAGATAAACCTCTGAAATACAGATACTCAAGGAAATAGGTCAAGACAAGTCCCAAAATTGAACATGCAACAGAAGTCTGAAAATGAAACTGCAAGCATCACAGGTTTATGAGCAATGTACCACTCACCACTGCACCACCCACAGTAAGTGAAAGACATCACAAGTTTCCAAGAGTTTGCATCAGTTCCAGGCTGCCCAGAGCAGCTGGGGCTGCCCCTGGATCCCTGGCAGTGCCCAAGGTTAAGCTGGATGGGGGTTGGAGCACCCTGGGACAGTGGAAGGTGTCCCTGCCATGGCAGGAGGATGAGCTTTAAGGTCTCTTCAAATGCAAATCATTCTGTGATTCTATAATATGCAGTTACATAAGCACTGGTGTGAGTGGGTTTCTTCCTGATTTTCTTTTAATAAAAACCATAACAGAGCCACAAAAATAATTCTTTACCAAAATTTTTGTCTTCTCTTTGTCAACAAAGGACTGAGCAAAGAGAAATAAACCCAGTTTCAAGTGCTCATGTCACTATACCATAAGAACCAATCCAGCTGAAAACAATTTCTTTTAACTTGTTTGCTTTAAATGAGACTCATTTCCTGCCCCATCACAATTAAATCCAGTTGTACCAAACAGAGCAGGAACTGCAGCCTCTGACATCAGAGCTGGGGCAGTGACATCCTCACAGGCTGCACTTAGAGCAGGGGAGGCAGAGCAGGCACCCAGAGCCAGGGCTGGCTCTAAGTCAGCAGGAAAGAACAAAATGCAGCTGCAGTTCCAGGGAGCCCAGCAGGCACTTACATAGGTCAGTTTGCAGACTGCGTTTGCCTTCACTGCGATGTTGTCCTGCTTCAGCTCCTGCTTGATCTCGTCGATGCACTGTGAGATGTATTTTGCCTGAGGACAGCAAACAAAAATTTGAGCTCCCCCACCAGTTTCTCAAGTTTCCAGCACGTTGGTGGGGAGAAGCAGCAGAATACCATTTGCAAACATCAATCACACACACAATTTAGTAAGCACTTAATTCTGACAAAATTACTTATTAAAAAACCCCACCACAATTCTGTTACAAAACCAAAAGTATGAGATGTCTCTTTGGTGGTTGTCCCTTCTGCCTCTCCCTCACAATTCCACCACTCACTCCAAAGCTCCAGATTCAAAAATCTGCACACATGAAGTTGTTCAATGGAGACTGAGTAGGCAGAGGTCTGCACAAACCCAGAGTTCACCACTGCCGGAAATCACTGCCTGCAGAGGGACGTCAGAGAACACCCCCTCACTGGTGACAAGGACAAACTGTCACACACTGCTAACAGCCCACAAATCAAAGGGGACTGATGAAAACACCCCAAGTTTGGACCTGCTGCCAATGATGACACTGTGGGTGTGCACCCACAACACAGGGACACAACACAAGGCTTGGAAGGGACACTGGTGCTTTCTGAATCCCCCCAACCATGGAAACCCCCATGGAAAATCACAAACCCCCTCTCTGGTTCTCAACTTCCACGAGCCCTTTTGCCATTTACACATTTTGATAAATAACAGTTATTTCTATGAATCCCTCAGGAATTCAAAGAGCCAAATGTCACAATGTTTACATTTAAATATTGGTGCTTCACATCTTTCCAAGCAATCACATCTGTGCTTGTGGGAAGGATGTGGCAAACATGTGATTTAAAATTATCTGTACAGATTTTACTTTATACACAGAATTTGCTCAGCCAAAGATTCTTCCAGTTCACAATTATTTTAGTACTGAAAGCATCTGCTACAGGAATAATGAAAATTTAAATGCAAAGAAATAATCTCTCTTTTCAAAGCCATGCATGCAGCAGGGTATTTCACATTCCTAGCTGCCAGAGGAACCAGGTCAGAACCGGATTACCCAATCCCTGCCTGAATATCACCACCTTCCTCCAAAATGATATTTTCAGCATAGAAGTGTCTAGTGGCCTGACTTTAATCAGTATTTTTCCCCTTTACACTAATTTTTGTGTATTAATACAACCATTTTCTAGTCTTTTATAAATGTCCTGTGCCGCAGACATCTTTTAATGAAAAATCCTCTCCTTAGGATTTTTCCTCCTGAGAAGCTGAGAGGCCTCAGGAACAAAATGTAAACAATGATTATCTGCTGCTGTGGAATGCAACAGGTGCATCTGTGATTGGTCTCATGTGGTTGTTTCTAATTAATGGCCAATCACAGTGAGCTGGTTCAGACAGAGAGTCAAGACACAAACCTTTGTTATCATTCCTTCTTATTCTATTCTTAGCCAGCCTTCTGATGAAACTTTTTCTTCTATTATTTTAGTACATTTTTAATGTAATATATATAATAAAAGAACAAATCAAGCCTTCTGAAACATGGAATCAGATCCTCATCTCTTCCCTCAACATAAGACCCCTGTGAACACCGTCACAGTCCTGGAGTGACACAATGCAAGTCACAAAAGTTTGGTGCTATGGATGGAAATCAGCCCTGGGGAAAGGACTTGGGCTGTTGGTGGGTGAGAGGCTCAGGCTGCCCCAGAAACCCCCCCTGTGCTGGGCTGAGCCCCAGCGTGGGCAGCAGGGCAGGGGGGGATTCTGCCCCTCTGCCCCTGGGCTCAGGTCAGACCCCACCTGCAGAGCTGCCCCAGCCCTGGGCAACAGCAGCAGGAGGACGTGGGGCTGCTGCAGCCAGGCCAGAGGAGCCACGGAGATGCTGCCAGGGCTGGAGCCCCTCTGCTCTGGAGCCAGCCTGGCACAGCTGGGGGGGCTCAGCACACAGATGAATGAATTTAAGGGAATTCAAGCTGTTCCTAAATGCCTGTGTTTGGACAGAAATACCATCCTTACAGTGGGAATTCTCATGTTAAGGGAGGGCACTGTAAGCACCAAACAACCCTTTCCTGTACACAGATCCCTTCTGTTCTCCTGGAAACAGGTGAGTGGATCTCATCTGCCAAAACTGGAGATGGCATCACCCCCAAACACTTCACAACACAGTGACCAGGTGACTTTACCCAGAAGCAGATTTGGGATTGTAAACCCTTCACCTGAGAGTGATTCAGGTCCTGACAATTCACATGGAAAGTTTAAACTCTTGAATATAAACTAAAAAAACCTTCTGAGGGTAGAAAATAAATACTTCATTAAAAATGCTGGAAGAGTGACTTACACAACATGCAACTGATCCACAAATATATTGTACTTGGCCTTGAATATTTTATGTTCACAGAAGAGCACACTGGAACAGTGTCACAGAATCCTTCATGTGTGTATCTTGTTGCCAGTGATGGCTCTCAAGACAGAAGGACACACAGACAGGTTCTCAGTCTTTACATCCATAACCAAAAGCCTCACTTATTTCCCACTGCATTTTTCCCCACACTATTCAAACATGAGCTTAATCTTCCTGGCAGCCTCTTCAGAGTTGAGCACAAACTGTGTGAGCAGGAGAGGTGGAAAAAACAGAGCACAGGGAAGTTCAGAGTGCCCAGCCTGGCACAGCTGAACAAGGCTCCAGAGTCACCAGCCCCAACGTCCCACAGGCAAATCCCTGCCCACCAGTGAGTCCAGCTTCTGGAAAAGCACATTACAGAACCCAGAATCAGATCTGCAACTGAAAAAGGGATTAGAGAGAGCAGAAAGAAGTCCTTCTGAAACAGCTGTACTTCAAATCCCAAAACACTCCAAGGAATGACAGGCACTATAAATAGAAAGCTTTACAGGATCAGCAGGTATTAACTTTTTGTTAATCCTGTGGAGTGGCACTGCCATGAATGAGCAATATGAGGAAACCTGATCTGTGCAGTCTCCATCCTAAATCTGAAAGGCAAGCACCACACCCAGCCTGATCTGCTGCCCCATCTCACACCCACAGAGCTGGGAGGGAACCTGGAGGTGGGAGCAGATCCTCAGTGAGGCTCTGGCTGTGGAACCCTGACCTGGGCACAGCACTGGGCACTGACCAATACCCACAGCCCCCACTGCTGCTCAGTGGGGTCACACCACACAGCAAAAAGTAGAACAACCCCCTAACGCAATGAAAAAAAATTCTAGTCACTAAGCAAGACCTAAATACTTGGAAGAAAAAGCCTTTAACATTTACATACTGACACAGCAAAAAAAATCTGGGTATCCTGCCCAGCACTGATTATGTCTTTGCATAAATGCTTCTAATATAGGAATTTCCTAGTGTGGTAATTAAAGCCAAATCTTTCCCAGGATATAAGTAGCTCTGTTTTTCCTTAAATGCTTTTGAGGTCCCATGAATCACAGAATCATTGAGGTTGGAAAAGCCCTCAAGGATCAACAAGTTCAGCAGTTGTTAGTGCAGCACAGCCATGTTCATCACTAAAACATGCTCCAAATGCCACATCCACAGTTTTCTGAACACTTCCAGGGATGGTGACTCCACCACTGCCCTGGGCAGCCCCTTCCAAAGTCTGACCATCCCTTCTATGAAGAAGTTTTTCATAATATCCAATCTAAACCTCACCTGGTACAGCCTGAAGCAGTTTCCTCCTGTCCTGTCCCTGTTCCCTGGAGCAGGGCCTGATCCCCCTGGCTGTCCCCTCCTGTCAGGAGCTGTGCAGAGCCACAAGGTCCCCCCTGAGCCTCCTTTTCTCCAGGCTGAGCCCCCCAGCTCCTCATCACATTTGTGCTCCAGTCCCTGCTCTGGACACACTCCAGCCCTTCAACGTCTTTCTTATCATGACCCCAGGACTCAAGGCAGGTCCTCAGCAGTGCCCAGAGTTCATTTATGCTCCCAGTACTCATTACAATATCAATTTATTTCTCAGCTGTTAATTCCTCACTAATCCTGTGACAGTACAATTTGCAGTTTTGTGTTGATGGCTCACACATCCTGGCCAGTGGGATGAGGAGCATTTCCAAGCTCCAACACTCACAGACCTGTGTGTGCCCAGCCTGATGGCTCTGAGGGGGCCAGGCAATGCTCAGGAACACTCTCAGGAGGAAGAGTGGGAGCAGGGGCAGAGCTGAAGGCTCTGGGAGCAGCAGGCAAGGAGCTGAGGCTCTTTTATTGCTGCCAAGAGGGAAAGGAGCCTTCCCTGGCTCGGTGGAAAGGCTCCTTAATGAAATGCTATAGCAACCACTCTGGCCATTGTTCTCTCTGCCAAGGAGCATTACAGGAACATGCCTGGAGCAGCCCAGCTAAAACCCAAGTGTGCAGCCTGCAGATGTGAGCAGGGAGCACAGAGCAGGGAGCTGTGGGAACAGCACAGGCACAGCTGCATTTCTCAGTCACCAATGAGATGCTGGAGTATTTTATATCCATTAACAAAATACACAAGCTGTTTTTTAAAACAAGCCCAAATTCCTCAAGAATTCCAAGATCTCACCTAGAAAATATGTGCATTTAAATGAATGTGAGTGGCTAAAATAAGAAAGAAGGCATCATGAATCAAATACAGTCTCTCTGAAATGGAAGGAGGAAGGGGAGAGTGGGTCATGGTAAGAAGCCAAAAATGCCATTTTAGAGGATTTTTCATTTCCCAGCCATGTTTTTTGACTTAACTTTGAAATACACTAAAGCTTTATTCCAAGCCAAGACAGAACTTTGCTGACAATTTCAGAGATGCTCACAAAAGACTTCTCTTTCTCAAGCAAGCAGTATGTGAAGTTAAAAAATTCATTAATCTGTACAACAATTACATTCCTAGGAAATGTGATTCTCCATGCTGTACTTGCTGTGATTACCTGACAGGAACACACCAAGGATTGGGATGGAGATCACTGCAGAACCTTTACATTAAATTTAATCATGTAAACTACTCATTTCCAGTAGTCTTAAAGAAGCTGTATTTTCATCTCAGCTATAAATCCACTTTCTAGACTCAAGAGGAGGCAAGCTCCCATTCACACCACTTTGGGTTGCAGCCCAGCAA